TTCGTTTCAACCGGGGTGATTTTCCATCCGAAGTGTTTTCACTTTCCATTGAAAAAAATATTTCATCTGACCGATTAGATCAATAGTAATACTAGCCTCAGATTGAACCAGGGGCTTTTTGTGGTGTGAAAATGTCAATTAGTTCTCGCCGGAGCTCACCGCCCGATATTGTGTTTATTAACTCTTTTCCTGTATTATTCTGAAGTAAATAAACAAACTTATACATCCTGAAGGACTCTTTTGCAAAGTCACCGAACAACTCAATGCTCTGAACCGCAATTTTCATTGACAAACATCCCATATCATGCAGTATAAAACCGATATTTATCTTCATAGAAAATGTTTCTATATGGATGGATGATGAGCATCATATAGCATTAGAACAGCTTATGTTAGACTAGGTTTTTGCTTTTGGCGTGAAGTAAAAATTAATCACGCAATATTCAAATCAGTTCCGACTCTGTGGCAAAACGTTGTTTTGCACGAATTTCAGCTTCACAAAGTACTGTCGAAAGAGCACGCCCTTAAGTTCCCAGATTCAATTTGCAAGTCAGAAATGTGAGAGGTGATCTTCTTTGTTTTTCATGATGAGATAACTTATTTTCTTCCAAAATCGTAAATATCTTAAATATTCTTCCCTTTTTTTGCCCAATTTAATTATCCAATTTCTAAATACCCGGCGAAATCTTTAGGTGAATATGTGGGTAATTATTTTTGGCAATAAATGTTTATCATCATTATATCAGGAGATTGAAAATTATTTCCAATTTTGATTCTTACAGGAAAAAAAACATACATGGTACATCCTCTTTTGCGCCTCGAGGGTTCTCAAGCCTTTTGGCGTTTTTTTTTTTTCTTGTTTTTCGTTTACTGATGCATTTTCAACTTTATGGCGAGATCGCGTCGTGCATATGGTGGAAAATTTGGTTGGCTAGATTTGGTCAAAAAATCATAAGGATCTCTTCACTGAACTCACAGGGGTATGACATTGTTAGATTAGTCATGGCAGAATACAGCGATATGTTTTGATGTTAATTTTTTTTCTTAATATTTGTATTACTGAATTTTAGAATTTGTTATACCTTTTGTTGTATTGATTTCAATAGCGTATATCCTCAAACAGACCCTTTCATATTATTTTACTACTTCCTCGGTAAGATAAGTGAATTTGTGGTCAAAACTGAAGTGACTCTCTCGTTGAGGTCGTAATTTTTAAACTAGGAAGTTAGGTTGTGGATTGCATGAAATTTTAAATTTGATCTAGGACTTAAATCCTACTTCCACGATAACGAATGGCGTACTTCAGACTACGATCACTAATTCGAGATTTGCTGTTTCCAGGTCTCTCAGTTTTTGAACAATTTTATTTTACCTCAGAATGTGGTAACTGGTGTAGCATAAACTATTTTGAACCCCCTCATTTAAAAACTGTTTTCTGTGGCATAGCAAACAAAATTTGATTGGGCTCAATAATTAACAAATAAAACATGTATAATCTTCAAAGAGCAACAAATGATCGCAACATGCATGGACATGCTGCTGGCCTAACCTTTTTTGGCCCAGCATTTGCAAGGACCAATCGCACATGTTAACATCAGATACAAGCATGAAACCTCACCCGAGAAAAAAGCCCTTATTTAAGCGAATATAAAATATCGAAAATTAGTAAACTGATGCAAAATAAAGCACTGTGTCGAGAGTTTTATCGATCGAAGCTGCTATGTACATAAAGTAATCAAGGCATGATTACTTAACACTGCTTAATACACCTGCCGGGGAAGTATATTTATCACGCAAATAAGAGCGATCGAGCGCAACCAAAATTTAATTAACTACGGCTTGGCTCACCAGAAATAAGTGTTGGTTCCATCGTCAGAGAACTGCTGAGTCTGTTTGATGTCCCACTCACACTTAATGCTAAACGGCCGTCGATCATCTCCTTTATCGTGTCCATTAGCCCTAACGATGTCCTTATCATGCGCCTGCCCATTTTGGTGGCTAGCACCTTCCTTAGGCTTTCCCATCCTCTCTGTCCTCAACACCGCTTAGTGAACTAGCCAAGCTTTTCGTATCAAACTGGTTTCGATCCAAAGCTGTGAGATTACGAAACCGAAAATGAGCAACAAAAGGTTACGTATATTTCCATCATGCACTGAGAAAATGTCGAAATATTACTGGCCGTGTAAAGATTGGGATCCAGACTGCAACACATTCATCCCCAGGACCTCCGGCCACATACTTTAAGACTCGTTAGAGTAACCTCTAGTAACCTTTACAACTTTGCGTTCAAAGCCATGAGAGTTTTCTTTTCATGTTGATTAAGGTTAAGTGGACCTAACTCTACCGTTTCTACGAACGAAAGAAAAAATAAATGTATTTTTTTCTAATAACGCTCTGGAAAGTCATTGACATCTGTTTGTGAACGTTTAGTTCCAAGCGTATACAGAAAGGTAACAATTTTCCCTCGGGTCCACCTTTTTCTGACAGAAAATGTCCACGCACTGAAAATCTGGCCGTATTTTCGAACACCTAACAGCATGAAAAATGTTTTGGCACGTTGAAGAAGTTTTTTCACCCCGTTAGGACAAACGATTCAACAACTCTTTTAGAAACTGCTTGATGTAAATTCTGTTCATAGGCACCTGCACACTAAGAGAAAATATGACCTTGTAAGAGAAGATTTTGATCAAAATAGAGCTGGCAACCCATTTGCAGGACAAATATTCTTTCCCACTTGCAAACTTCATTTTCATAAGTCGAAGGATGAACATTTTTTTTTTAAAACCGCATGATCTCCAAGATGGCATCTTAGAGACCATACGTTATCATGTAGCGACGGGAGGATTTTTTTTTTTTTGGGGGGGGGGGGAAGGAAGACCCTTAGTTTCCAAAGAGAACGGGGGGAGCAGTCGTCGTAAAAGAGGATAAGGGGAGACCATAGACCGCATGGTCTTTAAGATGTCATCTTAGAGACCATGTGTTATCATTTATCGACCGCAGGACTTTTTTGGGAGGGGGAGGGGAGGGGAGGGGAGGGGGAAGACTTAGTTTTCAAAGAGAACGGGGGCAAAAGTCGTCTTAATAGAGGATAAGGAGGACCATAGGCAGTTGACTTCCAGTGAGGGGAGGTCATTAGCTAGAATACTACAGAGCCTCATGGGGGATCAAGTAAATTTGATTGTAGCATAATCAAAATCCTCCTATCATGGCCCCCACAGGAGATAAATAATGACCGGTCCCCCAAGGGATATGTATCCTCACTTCCTGTTACTCATTTCCTCATCACTAAGTAAACAGAAGTCAAGATAGCCTACTCGAACTAATGAAATTTCATTTTCTCATCACTTTTTGGTGGGATGATCTCCTGATATTGAAGAGATAAGTTACAAACTGGTAAATCACTTCCACGATTTAGATGAGATGGCATATCATGTGGGATACAGAAGCGGGGAGAGGGTTTAAGAAAAAGTTTGGTTCCCGTGACTTCAAAATGCAACAAATTAATCCAGTTTACTGCAGTCTTTATTATATTCTCGTGGTGAAATAACAAAGGAAACGTATCGAAACTTTTAAAACTTTTTGGCAATCACACCGGTCGAGAAACTAATGTGAATATGTCTTCCTTCAACCTAATACTTTGGCTGGTCTACCTGCGCAGGTAAAAGGATAAAAATAAATTAGAATTTCAACACAGTTTAAAGAACTCAGCTTCTAATCCTGTTTATAAGGAAGACGCTATGTAGATGCGGTAGTCATTGGTCCTCCAACAAATTAACCCCACCTCCCTCTACCACTTGGGTTGGTGCCATGAACGGGGTATTGAAATTCTTCACAGCACGAAGTGATTTGTTGCCCTTTCAAACTCAACTTCTAAAAACCATGTCAGAATCAGACTATTCAATTGGATGAGTAATATTTTTATTGAGTAGCAAAGTGAATTGTAAGCTCCGGTAGGAATCAACGAAGTTGGCGTCAAGAATATCGACACTTAAGCCGAGTCCATCCATCCCTGACGGTATTTTCAGAGCTGACCACTGCAAGATGTCAAAAACGAATAAGTAGCGGATATCAAAGAACCCATGCACTTTTCGCAAAGAATAGGGAACGTAACACCTCATGTTATGGTCTGGCCTTGTTATTGTTTATGTAGGCCCCCATTTTTATAGTGAACTTTAATTAACAAATGGTAAACACCACAGCGAACACTATTGAGTTATGGATGCACGCGGGAGGTTGCTAAGCACTCAAGAAGCTAGAGTCGCTCTCGGCGATAGCCGAGAGCGACTCTAGCTTCTTGAGTGCTTAGCAACCTCCCGCGTGCATCCATAACTCAATAGTGTTCGCTGTGGTGTTTACCATTTGTTAATTAAAGTTCACTATAAAAATGGGGGCCTACATAAACAATAACAAGGCCAGACCATAACATGAGGTGTTACGTTCCCTATTCTTTGCGAAAAGTGCATGGGTTCTTTGATATCCGCTACTTATTCGTTTTTGACATCTTGCAGTGGTCAGCTCTGAAAATACCGTCAGGGATGGATGGACTCGGCTTAAGTGTCGATATTCTTGACGCCAACTTCGTTGATTCCTACCGGAGCTTACAATTCACTTTGCTACTCAATAAAAATATTACTCATCCAATTGAATAGTCTGATTCTGACATGGTTTTTAGAAGTTGAGTTTGAAAGGGCAACAAATCACTTCGTGCTGTGAAGAATTTCAATACCCCGTTCATGGCACCAACCCAAGTGGTAGAGGGAGGTGGGGTTAATTTGTTGGAGGACCAATGACTACCGCATCTACATAGCGTCTTCCTTATAAACAGGATTAGAAGCTGAGTTCTTTAAACTGTGTTGAAATTCTAATTTATTTTTATCCTTTTACCTGCGCAGGTAGACCAGCCAAAGTATTAGGTTGAAGGAAGACATATTCACATTAGTTTCTCGACCGGTGTGATTGCCAAAAAGTTTTAAAAGTTTCGATACGTTTCCTTTGTTATTTCACCACGAGAATATAATAAAGACTGCAGTAAACTGGATTAATTTGTTGCATTTTGAAGTCACGGGAACCAAACTTTTTCTTAAACCCTCTCCCCGCTTCTGTATCCCACATGATATGCCATCTCATCTAAATCGTGGAAGTGATTTACCAGTTTGTAACTTATCTCTTCAATATCAGGAGATCATCCCACCAAAAAGTGATGAGAAAATGAAATTTCATTAGTTCGAGTAGGCTATCTTGACTTCTGTTTACTTAGTGATGAGGAAATGAGTAACAGGAAGTGAGGATACATATCCCTTGGGGGACCGGTCATTATTTATCTCCTGTGGGGGCCATGATAGGAGGATTTTGATTATGCTACAATCAAATTTACTTGATCCCCCATGAGGCTCTGTAGTATTCTAGCTAATGACCTCCCCTCACTGGAAGTCAACTGCCTATGGTCCTCCTTATCCTCTATTAAGACGACTTTTGCCCCCGTTCTCTTTGAAAACTAAGTCTTCCCCCTCCCCTCCCCTCCCCTCCCCCTC